GGGATTTCCCAAGTGACAGGAGTGTCTTGTTTCTTGTGACAGTCTGCTTTGATAAATGCTGAGTTTTTTGTTACTTAGTTTGGGGCCCTGGGCAGCTTCAGGGTGGGCTCAAGTCTTTGGAAAGACCAAGTATTTCTCCAAGACATCGACAGATATCCCCTATGAAGGTTCCAAACTGGGAGACATGGGGCTAAACAAAGTGGATCCAAACCACACCCTCAAGTTTGAAAACATAGGTAATACCAGAGTAGGCAGTAGGAACAGTGGGAAAGCATGCTTTATTCAGTAAATAAATGGTCCATTCAGGAAAAGTAACATTGCATCCCCAGACTGCCAACTTCCAAAGATATTTATTGACAGACCCAAGGTGTTCACCCCTAAACTCTTCTGCAATGTGATCTTGCCATCATATATTATTGTATTGAATTCACTGAGTTATTCATCAGCTTACTTTTTAAAAATGTCTTTCAGTAACATTTTATAAAGAACTTGCAATTTTTTCTTTTCAAAAATGGCTGTTATTTACTTACTTTATTTTTTAGTTGAGTTTTATTTATCCAGTCTTTCAGAATTTTTTAGTGCATACAAAGTTTTTTGATCATATCCACTCCCCACTCCACCTGCCCTCCCAAACGTCATATCCTCTTCCTATAAGAAACAAACACACAAGACAAAACAACTCACTGAGTCCCGTTGGTGCTTCAGGTATGTGTAGGCTCACAGGGCCAGCCTGGAGAGCACGGGCAGCCTATGAGACAGGCTTGCACCCCTGAAGGAAATGGATTCTCTTTCTACCAGCCGACCTCAGCAGCCAATAGCTTTCCTCTAGGGGTGGGTCCTTGTGAGCCCCTCCTCCACGCATGCTGGCTTGCTCTTGTGCAGAGTGCACACAGGCAGCCCCAACTGCTGTAAACTTGTGAGTGTAATGGCCCTGTCTTGTCCGGGAGACACTACTTCTTAACAGTCCTTCCTGACTTTTGGCTTTTACAGTCTTCATTCCCCTCATTACCATGTTCCTTGAGCCTCGGGGCGGGGAGGTCAGCACTCCCCAGTCATTTATTCTCTGTACAAGTTGTATGTCTTGGTGTGAGCCTCTGTCCACCTACAGTCTCTGTTTTTGAGACAGGCGTTGTGCGGTGTCCCCCAGGCTGGCCTCAGGTTCCTGAGGGCTGTGATCGTAGGCGTACCTACTGAAGAGCTGATACATCTTAAAGCTATTTTTTTGTTCTGAGCCAGTTAGTTGTGGAGCTTTTAAAAAGTTGCTTTCCTGTTTGGGAAATATTTCTATTTCATCCAAGTGAAGTTCCTAGCAGATCAGCGAACAGGATGTCTAGCCTCGAACGAAGGGAGTCAAATGCTAGGATTAAACTGGTCACTTCTTGTTTCCTAAAGTCACCTTCAGCAGTCACCACCAGAGGGAGCCCTTGTACTTTTTTCCTCCGGCAAGGTTACCAGCCTGCTTTGGAAATAGGATGCCTAGCTGGGGCAGGTGTCAACTGCTGGCAAAGATCTAGTCGTCCGGTATGGTGAGAAGAGGCCACTTAGCATATCCTTAGTCACCAGTCTGCACATAGGAAACTCTGCTTTGCCTTTTGGAAGATAATTCTGAGTGAAGATACAGGGACTAAAGCAGACGGGGAGTGATTAGGTCACTGTCACATCAATAAATTACTGTTTAGAGAGGCTCTCCCTTCCAAAGGAAGGACAGGTAGGGCATGAGAGAGCCACGTCTGAACTCAGGTCCCCAGTTTTCACACCATATTTGAGAGTGGAGTTGGGATGAGTTCTGGTTGGAGGTTATTTAATTTTTACTGAGCTGTGACGTGGCCGGTTGTCTGTGAACTGGGATTACATGTGCGTTTGGGAGTGCGCATGCCTGAATCTAACTGTGGGTTGGAAAGAGGTTTTGTTGTGGTTGCTGGGTTTAAGGAATCAGTGGACCTAGGTGTGGTGAGTCTGTCGGGTCTGTCATTTTGGCACAGGGAAGGCTGAAGCAGAGAGGATCTTGAGTTCAAGGCCAGCCCGGGCCATGGCAGGGGCCTGCCAGAAAAAAGAAGAGAGGGAAAAGAAGAGGAGAAGAGGAGAGGAAGAAAGGGGAGAGGAGGCGAGAAGAAGAGTTAGATTGACTGCTAGGAAACAGACACCTCCCCCCTTTTCTTTTTCTTTTGGTTTTTTGGGTTTCATGACAGGGTTTCTCTGTGTAGCTCTGGCTGTCCTGGAACTCGCTCTGTAGACAAGGCTGGCCTCGAACTCATTGAGATCCACCTGCCTTTGCCTCCTGAGTGCTGGGATGAAAGGCGTGCGCCACCACCGCCCCACTGAGACAGCTTTAACTTACAGACTCAAGTATCTTTGACTGGCTTAAAATTTTCATTTATTTTATATTTGGGATTCTGTCACCTACTTTAATAATCTGGTCGCCACATAAATAAACTGGTGGTTTCAGTTAATTTACCTTAATTTGATGATTTTCAGACCTCATGGTTTTTCTTCTGATTCAAGCTGACTTTTAAAATACAGTGTGGTTATTGGATGTTCTTTTCCGAGAATATGGAGTTCAGCTTTTCTGTACCACTCGGCTCTTTTCAAGTCTCCTGTGACTGTCTTGAAGTGGTTCCTGGAGTGCTCTTGTTACTGCTGTGTTTCCCAATTCACCTTGATATAAACTTTCTTGGAAGACTATCGGCACTCTTTAAAACTCTTTGAATCTGTATTTGCCTTAGAATGAGACATCACAGCTCAGAGACTCAAAACTAGTCCAAGTGCAGAGAACAAGTGTCCATGGACTGTTTGGCCACACATGGGACATCTATATCACACCCCTGTCCCTAAAGCTCCGGGAACATTGCAAAAGACAAGGATAGAAAGATGATATGAGCCAGAGGTTGCAGGGGGGGGGGGGGGGGGGGGAACGACGGGACCGGCGCCAAACAGTGTCTTCCGGATGTGACTGGACTCTTCCACTTCTGAAGTCACGGCAGCTGTGGTTGCCTGCACAAGATCAAGCCAGTCATGTTCAGTGTGTGTGTTGGGGGGCGGGGCACTGATGAGCTCTTATCCCTAGCTGTGGAGCTGTTGACAGGCAATGTCTTCTAGGGGAGGAAGAATCACTTTTCTTTAAGGGTATGGTCGCTTGGTAGTGACCATGCTCCAGAAGATGGCTTCATATGCATGAGTATGTGGAAAGTGCAAATTGGACTTCATGGGATATTTAGAAAAATAAGCTGGGAAGAGGTGGGTGGTAGATAATCTGGGTGAAGTGGAGGGTAGATAAAAGACATTTGTGTACATGTATGAAACTCTCAATTAAGAGACATTTAAAAAAATAAAATATTTAATAATCTGCTTTACTTTTCTCATAGATATCACAGCGAAGAATTAAAAACAATTATGTGTGTAAATGTGTGTCTGTGTGGGTATGTGTATGTGAGTACAGTGCTCATGGAGGCCAGAAGAGGGCGTCAGATACCCTGGAACTGGAGTGGCAGGCACTTGTGAGCTGCCTGACATGGATGCAGGGGACCAAACTTGGGTTTTCTAAAAGAGACATGCTTTTAACCACCGTGCCATCTCTCTGGTTCCTGTGGGGACGATTGTAAGCCTTTATTTGAGCCTAAACTTTTAAGCAAAAATCAACAACTTCCTGATTTCTTGCGTTGTTTTTGCACCCCCCCCCTTTTATTGCAGTGCTGGGATTGAACTTTCCAGACGCCAAAGCTTCCCACATGCTAGGCAAGAACTCTACCCCGAGCCACACTTCCATCCTGTTGATGCATTTCACTCTATTCTGTTCTAAAAAATTTATAGAGAAACATTTTGAGAAAAAAAGACGTATTTAGCATTAGTTCTTTATTGGTGCAGCGCAATCCATTTTCAGGAGAGAGTTTTTATGTTCAAGGCGGAACGGCTCTGATCAGCAGGGGGTCCAGGAAGAGGAGCAGTATGGAGAAAGCAGAAAAGGATTCCAGACAGGTTTCTGGCTCCCTGAAGATGGATTTCTTGGTTGGTATTTCAATCTCTGTGTGACGTGTTGGATATTCCAGGGAAGGAGAATTAGTCCTTCGGAGAAGTACTTATAAAAGTTCACACTGTGGGCCGGAGCATAGCTCGGTGGTGGGGTGTCTGCGGCATAGCTCGGTGGTGGGGTGCCTGCGGCATAGCTCGGTGGTGGGGTGCCTGCGGCATAGCTCGGTGGTGGGGTGCCTGCGGCATAGCTCGGTGGTGGGGTGCCTGCCTGGTGTGTGAGGCCCAGCACTACAAAAGAAATCAATGTCAGGTCAGTGTACTGCTCCTCAGCAAGGTCCAGTGAGGAGTTCTCCGTCAGTGATTTCTGTCTGGAACAGAGCATCTGTAAAACTAGCAGTAGAGCCACAAGGCCGTAAAAGTTTCAGGCTGGGTGAAACAGAGGCCTCCCTCTCATTCCATCAAGAACACCTTTAGAAGTAGGTGAGGGGACGCACACTTGTTATTGCAGTTCAGGAAGCAGAAGCAGAAGGGTTGCTTGGGCCAGGACTTCATGCCTGGGTACCGTAGTGAGACCTCATCTTATAGACAAAGGAAAGGAAAAAAAAAAAAAAGAAACTAGCCATAGTTGTATACACTGTAATCTGTGTATTAGAGAGGTAGAGGCCAGGGGATTGTAAACGCAGGGCCTGGCTGGACCACCTAGCAAGTTTCAGTCCAGCCCAGGGAACCCACTGAGACCCGATCTCAGTGAACTTTATGGGCGCCAAGGATATAGCTTAGTTGCAGAACACTTGTGTATCATGCACAAAGCCCCAGGTTCAAACATCATCAAAAATGTTTCATATATTTTATACCTTTTCTCTATCAATATTATTTGGTGGGCATAATGAATGAATATCTTAAAAGTCATTGTTTTTGAATAATGCTGTTAATGTTCAATACTTTAATGAAGTATGGGCGCATCACTTACCTGAGTGCTGAAAAACCCCTGTCTCCTACTGTCTGCAATAATAGAATATTCTTCTTGGATTTAGATTTCCTCCTTCCTCACCCCTGAAGCCATATCCAAAGAAGCCCCTGTATCAAAGAGATGTTATTAAATTTCCGGAATGGAATGATCCCCCACCAGGCACTTCACAAGAGAACATTCCAGTGAGACCAATTGTGATGGTAAGTGCGTGAATAAAAGACCGTAGGCTCATAGTAGGCTCCATCCTGGCCATCGCTAGCTTCTTGGGAAGAGGAAGTCAGTGTGTCTATGGTGTTGCCATTGGTGAGTTACTCTTCCCCCACACCCGTGCCCACACAGTGAGTCACACAGCAAAAACAAAAGACAAAAAGAGATGAAAGTGAGGTGGGGACTGGGTGGGGGAAGGAGCGTGACCACAGTGTATTGCATACATGTGTGAACTGTCAATGAAAAAATTAATTAAAACAGTAGTCATGACCTTTTTTCAAAAAGATGATGGGCTCAGTCCAGGAGGAATCAGCCAGTGAGCTGCGGGCTTGTCCAGTGCTTTCTAAGGTGTCCCTTTTGAACTGCTTGGGACACACTGCGAAATGACACCCCACCCGTCCACGGTTGGGAGGCCTTTAACAGGAGCTCTTGCTTTGTGTCCCCTCTTCCGGGCTGGCGAGGGAGGGAGCGTGTGGTAGCCGCTGTCACATGTTCAGTCAGAGCAGATGTCTGTTAAACTCCCTCGGGATGTCCTTCCCTGTCCTGGAGCTGCCCGGTCTCCTGAACTTTGTCTTAATTACTGTATCAGGTGAGAGTAAGATAGTAGGCTGTCCCCATGGAGCGACCCCCCCCCCCACCCACCCAGCACAGCGCATGAACAAACGTGGCTTCCTCTGGTCTCTGAAGACAGTGCATCGTGAAACACACAGCCTCTTTTTTTCCCCCTCCATACTTTTTTCTAAAAATAGCCCTAGCACAAGACTGCCAAGATGGAGATGATGCGGAAAAAATACAGAGAGAATCTTTGGTAAGGCAGTTATGGAAGAAATTTACTAACATTATTGATTTAGGTTAATCAGGTCTTGTGAGACTAGACATCAATACAGTTTTGTTTGCAAAGCTGTGATGAAGCCATTTTTAGCCAATGCAATCAAAAGAAAAGACAGCTCCCCCGCCCCCGAAAGAAATTCTGTGATGTTGAAGCTTGGAGAGGGTAATTAAGGAGCTTACGCTTATCAAAGATGATCAAGGCAAGAGAGGACACCAGTGACAGAAGTGGGGACCACAGGGGCTTGCAGATCTGTCAAGGATGACGATGACTTCGGTGTGAATCTGACAATGATGGTTTATGTGGAAAGGGAGTACCTAGCAGGTGGAAGGAGACAGTGGCCCTAGAACTTAGGGGAGAGACTGTATTTGGAAATCCCTCATTTACTTGTTTTAAAAAAAAAAAAATTGATTCAGAGCGTCCCTGTGTGACAAATATGCTGGGCTTAGGAGAGTCTTCACTCTCACGGTCTAGTGAGAGAAAAATAGGAAAATAGAAAATGAAGTGTCAGAGAACACAATGGAAATGCAGGGGCGCTGGCTACTGGAGGGCAGCTCAGAGTTAGGGAAGACTTAGGAAGTGTTAGTTCCTACTCTTGAAAACATTACCGTGTCAACTCTAAGAAACTCGGTCCCTTTTCCTCAGTGTGTTTATTTAAACACCCAGTAGAAGCCTCCAGCTAGGGCTGTTGTTCAGAAGACCATTTTATTTATAGTGAAATAAATGGGCATTGACACCATCGCTAGGACTCCCCGTTCTCTCCTGTGCAGTTATGCTGTTGGTGCCCTGGGGGAAGTCCACAAGTTTATTAGCAAATGTCAGCACCTCTGACAGTACCTTCTGTGCTCAGTTGAAGTGCTTCTGAGAGCTCTGAAGTGTGCCCGCACCCCAGAGCCGTCCAGCTCTCTGAACTCTGGGGCCATTCTTTCCTTCTCCAGGCTTCTGCATGCATCCATACTTTTTGATACATCTGGTTTGTCTTTCCTGGCATTTCCCTCTGACAGGATATGCAAGGCTATAAGCTCCTTGCTTGTTATGGAATCTACCACAGCTTGTCCCCTGCTTCCTGGGGACTGCCCAAACCAGGAGTGGTGGAGTAGGATCCTTTTGTTCAGGAGCCTGTGACACAATTTTTAAAATGAGGTTAATAAGTAAATGATTCATCTTTCTTAAAGAGCTTGAGAGGTAGGTGTGCATGCCTGGAGGCTTAGGCAGGATCTTGAGCTAAAGTCAACTTAGGCTACCTACTGAAGTTCCAGGCCAGCCTGGGCTTACAGAGTGAGACGCTATCTCAAAAGAACAAAGCAAACCAGAAGGCAAAAACTTCTGTCTTATCTTTTCTTTTCTGGAGTGATGGTGATTGCTGTGGGAAGGGAAGGCATACGGGGAATTCAGCCCAGGGACTTGTTCATGCTAGGCAGGTGTTCTATCACTGAACATCCTCGCCCTGCTTTGTCTTGTCCTGTACTTGTTTAACCAATGAAATAAAATATGATAACAAAGCAGAGCAAACAATTACTTGCTGTCCTTTCTGAGGGGCAAAATTATAAGAGTGGGTTCTGGAGCCAGACTGTTGTGTTTGGGTCATTGCTTTGTGATGATCAGCCATTTGAACTTGGTTTCCTCTGTTAGCGCTTGTGCTTTTGTGGAAGAGTTCTGACCAGTGAACTAGGATGCTGTCCTGTGAGGCCGGATACTGGGAGAGTCAGCTGGTACCCTGTGAGGCAGGACACTGGGAGAGTCAGCTGGTACACTGTGAGGCAGGACACTGGGAGAGTCAGCTGGTACCC